TATCTTTGCTGTTCTTTTCTCTCTCCCCCCACCTTTTGTGTGTTTGTCTTGTTTTGTCATCTTGGGAAGCAGGATCAGACTTTAACAACAACAGCAATAATAGCTCCAGCCAGTGATGAGCTGCCAAAATCTTAAGAACCGGTCCCTCCTCACTCCACAAGGGGGTCGTGGCCTGTGCCCGCTCCCTGGGACTCCTTTCCCATCCAACCCCCACTTCTCCCTGGCCCCTGACCGTCCCTGGACCCCCTCCTTCCTGACTGCCCCCCCCCGGGACCCTTGCCCCCATTCAACCCCCCTGTTCCCCGCCTTCTGACCATCTGGACCCCTATCCACCCCCAACCAGCACCCCGAACTCCCCTGCCCTCTATCCAAACTCTCCCCCTCCCCCCCCCGCTCCCTGCCCCCTTACCGCGCTGCCTGGAGGTGGCTGGCAGCGCTACCAGCCATGCCGCAGGGCTGGAGACTTGCCATGCCACCGCCGCGCAGCACCAGATCAGGCTGAGCTCGCAGCCTCCCTGCTTCCCGCAAATCAGCTGTTCGCGCTAGAAGCCTGGGAGGGCTGAGAAACAAGCGGCGGCTTCGCGCTCAGGCCCAGGGAGGCGGAGGCAGAACGGAGGTGAGCTGGGGTGGGGAGCGGTTCCCTTGCGCGCGCACACACCCCAGGTTACCTGCTGCGCCACTCCATCTCCGCCTCCCTGGGCCTGAGCGCGAAGCCGCCGCACCACTTCTCCGCCCTCCCAGGCTTCCTGCATGAACAGCTCATTCACGGGAAGCCAGGAGGAAGGGGAGAAGTGGGGCGGAGCGTTCAGGGGAGGTGGCGGAGCGGAGGTGAGGTGGGGCCGGGGGGCGGGGCAGAGCTGCACCCAACAAATTTTCCCTGTGGGTGCTCCAACCCCGGAGCACCCACGGAGTCAGTGCCTAAGGAGCCACTTTTGAATAATGTGCTCAGGGGGAGCAGCCGCTCCCTCTGCTCTCCCCCAGCTACACTCCTGGGTCACTTCCACTTACAGGTTGTTAAATTTAGAAGCACTTTTAGAACCGGTTGTCTCACGCAGGACAACTGTTTCTAAAAGGGCTTCTACATTTAACAACCGGTTCCCGCGAACCAGCTCCAGCTCACCACTGGCTCCAGCCCATCTCAACTCACTTTCTCTCTTTTCCTCAAAAAGGACAGCTATTACCATCTTTAATTCCAGCTAAAAGACTGTCAGACAAGAGTTTTTTTCTCGATGAAAAGAGAGGGAACAAGGGAAGTTGTTAAAATAAAGTTTTATATAATACTTCACATTTCAGATACTTTAACTGTTTTTCATTTTTAAAATCTTTTTATTTAAAAGATTTACAATTATTTTTAATGGTGTGTTTGCCATGGTACTGAGCAGGCTGAGGTTTCTGTATCCTAAACCCCGAACCTTGTTTAACCCAGTCACTGTCCAACATTAAACAGTGTTATGTAAACGCTGTTGGCCCGTATATTCTATCTAAATTAATACAACAGAGGCAAGAACACTGAGTGCCCTGGCTTTCTGCCTTTCCAGCCCCTGAGCGAGGTGATTTAGAGAGTGAGTGCTCAGCCTTGGAGCATTCCTTGGGTTTTGTAATTTTGCAGTTGACTCTAGCCTTTCAGACACACCGCTGGGAGGGGCGGGGTAGGGATCACTTAGATTTTCCTAGTGGTAAATTGAAAATTTTCAGCAAGATTGAAATTTTACTGTGGGAAATTTTGATTTTTGCAAAATTCTCATTTTTCTATTAGAAACTCATTCTGACAAAAAACTCCTGACCATCACATATACAATGAGAAAGTACTATGAACCAAAACAGTAAACTGTTAATGTGCTTTTTTGATTGATTTACCTCACAGTCCCTTTGGAGAATAGATTCACCCTAGAATCCAGTTTGCTCTTTGCTCTACTACTTAAATAAACTACTTTTGTAATACATTTCTTTTAGGGCTTGTCTACACTACCGTGCGGGGTCGATCTAAGATACACAACTTCAGCTACGTGAATAGCGAGGCTGAAGTCGACATACTTAGATCTACTTACCGCGGTGTCTTCTCTGTGGTAAGTCGACAGCTGACACTCTCCCATCGACTCTGCTTGCAATGCTTGTTCTGGTGGAGTACCGGAGTCGACAGGAGAGCCCTCAGCGGTCGATTGATTGCATCTATACTAGACGTGATAAATCGACCCCCTCTGGATCGATCGCTGCCCACCGATCCGGCAGGTAGTGTAGACAAGCCCTTAAAATAGCTTTTAGGAATCCCACTCAAGCATCAGCATTGTGCCAGGCACTATTCAGACAAATGAAGAAAACAGTTCCTGCCTATGACAGAGTGCAGGGAGTTAATAGATGAGCCTGGACTCTGATCACTCTGATACTAATTAGTCCCCCTGGAGAAAGCTGATTGGCATAATTAGAGGTAATTAGCTAATCAGGCTGATGGCCTGGGTGAAATGACAAGCCAGTTAGCCAACCAGCTCAAGGCTGATGAAGTCTAGGAAGGAAGTGCTGAGGAGAGAGGAACTGCTGATCTGAGTCTTGTAAACCCATCAGGGAATGGAGACCTCTGCTCCTCTCAGCTCCTGAGGAAAGGGCCTAAAGCAGTGATACTCAATAGGCAATACTCAATGTGTCGCACATCACCTCCATATTGGTGCACATAACAAAATTAATTCCGCACATGTTTGGGAAAAATTAGAGGGAACACGGATCACTAGCCTAAAGCATAGGTGATATTGTAGATAGTACTGTTTGATAGAATTGTAAGGGTATTGGTGGAGGGATTTCAAATAAATAGTACGGTGGATACACTACCACTAGAGTCTCGGCCAGTTTCTGTGGTGCAAAGAGGCAGGAGCGTACTGTGTCCTGCTACATGCCCCATAGAGTTTAATCCAGAAAAAAAAATCCGACAAGATAGATAAGAGGGGGTAGTGTTGAGAGGATGAGGTTATAAAATGAAAAAACTAGGAACCTCAGCTCACCACTTGCCTAACTGATTTTCAGGGGTGGGGTTGTCTTCAAAGGAGTTACATCAAGCATGAATTTGGTCCAGTGTTTGAATATGGAAAAACTGTTCCTCATTATTATTTTAGGCAAGGAAATCATTCTGTATTTTTTGAAGAACATTATTTAAAAAATACAAAATACCTCTTGAAATGTCTGTGCAATGACAAAAATATTGAACCTGTTTCAGTTAGAATAAAAATATTACAGTGTGCTCATGTTTTCTCAGACATGAAACTTCTTTATTCTACAGTATGCTGCAATTTCTGCTCCTGAATTCTAAGGCTGTATGATGGAAATGTATTCAAAAAAATCAATGTAATCCAGTTTAGAATACAGTGAAGGATGAAGTAGCCAGTATCAGGTTTCTGGGGACATAATTCTGATGGGAGAACTTCTGCCTTGGTCTAGCTGTGAAGAGAAGATTTTTATTCTGTCTGAAGACACATCTAAGAACCATGGTTAGTAGGGAAGCTAGAAAGGAAATAAAACTATTTTAATAAAACTGTACTCTCTCTACAGTATTTAAGTGCCCTGTATCCCATTTATGCTAAAGTCATTCAAGAATTATGTATGGTTATATATAGGGATCTACCAAATTCACAGTCCATTTTGGTCAATTTTATGGTCCTAGAAATTGAAAAATCATAAATTTTATTATTTCAGTTATTTAAATCTGAAATTTCATGGTGTTTTAATTGTAGGGGTTCTGACCCAAAAAGGAGTTGTGGGTGGGTATTGCAGTACTGCTATCCTTACTTCTGTGCTGCTGCTGGCGGGGCGCTGCCTTCAGAGCTGGGATCCCAGCCAGCAGTTGCCGCTCTCCAGCTGTGAAGGCAGCACAGAAATAAGGGTGGCTATACCGTGACCCCCTTAAAATAACCTTGCAACACCCCCTCCCCTGCCCCCCACGCAACTCCCTTTTGAGTCAGGACCCCAATTTGAGAAATGCTGGTCTCCCCTGTGAAATCTGTATAATATAGGGTAAAAGAATACAGAAGACCAGATTTCACAGTGGGGGACCAAATTTCACGGTCCCTGACGCGTTTTTTTTAATGGCCGTGAATTTGGTAGGGCTCTAGTTATATGAACAGGTTGCCCATATAGTGTAATATTATTCTTTACAAAATTTATAAAGTCCTCTTTGAGACTTGATTTTTGCAAGCTCAAATAAACTGTCAAATCCAGGAGAAAAACCAGCAATAATCCAGGACTGCTGATGCAAAAATCCCTTTAATTTTATTAGTGTCTGAATGGTAAGCAATAACAGAAGTGAAAGCTACAATTTAGGGGTTGTGCAGTTCCTTTAATAGTACATGTGGGCAGGGTGTATTGATTTAAATCAAGGTGACTTAAATCATGATTTAAATCACTGAGTGGAAAGCCTCAATTTAAGTAATCAATTTTAATCAACTTTTCCATTTGTACTTCAGTCAGTTTCTAAAAAAAAAGTATGTTCTCATTGGTTGATAAACCTATTAAAACACGTTGATTTACAACTAAATAGAGCCTTTACATTAGATTTGGTACTTTTTTGCTACCTACAAGGGTATGTTATTACTATATATATTTATTTAAGCAATTATGTGCTTAATATTTTCAGATTTTTATTAATTTACGTTTTAGTATGTTAATAAATGGTGAATGAGATTGCTTATTTACTATATATTTAACTTTTTGCTCATGATTTGTGTCAAGCTGCATTAGAATGGTAACTGGAATTTAATTAAAAAGAACAGGAGTACTTGTAGCACTTTAGAGACTAACAAATTTATTAGAGCATAAGCTTTCGTGGGCTACAGCCCACTTCTTCGGATGCATAGAATGGAACATATATTGAGGAGATATATATACACACATACAGAGAGCGTGAACAGGTGGGAGTTGTCTTACCAACTCTAAGAGGCCAATTAAGTAAGAGAAAAAAACTTTTGAAGTGATAATCAAGATAGCCCAGTACAGACAGTTTGATAAGAAGTGTGAGAATACTTACAAGGGAAGATAGATTCAATGTTTGTAATAAGAACAGGAGTACTTGTGGCACCTTAGAGACTAACAAATTTATTAGAGCATAAGCTTTCGTGGACTACAGCCCACTTCTTAATTTGTTAGTCTCTAAGGTGCCACAAGTACTCCTGTTCTTTTTGCGGATACAGACTAATACGGCTGCTACTCTGAAATCTGGAATTTAATTAAACACACACAACAGCATATAAAATTTATTCTGATTAAACATAACAGCCTTAAATATTTTGGATACATAAACTTATCAAAACATGTTTCACATTTACCACTAAATGATTTATTAAACAGAGACATTAACTGTAGTCAGTAAATTAAACTGATTATTTCAGGTATGTCTAGGAAAATTTTCAAATATGCCTAAGTGAAAGTGACTGGAGCTTCATCCTCACCTAAGTCTCTTGAAAATCAGCCAGTCTCCTAAGGGCTGGTACACGCTACAAGGCTAGGTTGGCTTAATTACATCCTTCAGGGCTGTGAAAATTTTCATGCACTCTGACATAGTGTCAGTGTAGACACCACTAGGCTGACAGAAGAATTATTCTCTTGGCCTAGCTACCCCTTCTTGGAGAGGTGGGTTTGCTACAGTGATGGAAGAACCCCTTCCATTGCTGTACTAAGTGTCTATGCTACAGCAGTGCAGCTCAACTGTGCCACTGTAGCATTTCTACTGTAGACATACCCTAAGTTAGGCTGACTTATTGTGCCATATTTATAGGGTTGCCTATTTAATGGCTGGTAACCAGACCACTGAGGCCCTGCCCCCTGTCTCTTCCTCCAAGGCCACACGTCCTTCACCGCCTCTTCCCTCCGACCCGCGGCTTTGCCTCTCCACCCCAGATCAAAAAAACTAGACACCAGGGCTTGTCAAATGACACCTGGACACACAAGCCAAAATCCAGACTGGTCGGGTGAAAACCAGACAAGTGGCAACCCTACATATTTGTAAGGCTTAGCCTCAAAAGTTATGTTTTCCCCCTGATTCATTATATAGAAAAGCAGCCATTAACTCTAACTCAAAGTTTTTATAGAGGCTCATGGATTCAGCATATTTATTTTGTATTTAAAGATTTTAAGAAATTATAGTAAATTTAGGCCTTATCATATGTTGTATTAAATTCAGATTTCATTTTAAAAAGAATAACTTATTATAATTTAAATAATAGAATGAAAAAAGTCTGATTTTTATTCACCTTTCATGCAGGAAAGGATAGGGGATGCAGTCACTTCCTCATATTAAAAAATCAACCTTCAGTGCATAGAAAAAGCTCCCTTTGCCTAAAATATTAAGACAAATGTCTTTGACTACTTGGAAACTGTGTCTGGAATTGTTCTGATATCTGGGCTATAATGTGGCCTGATGTGGTTTCTTGATTTGGGAAGTGGATTGATTCTTCCTTTGAGGTATTAATCATGCCAAATGTATTTGCTTCTGCATATTTATATTTAGTACATCATGGTTTTGTTATAAGGTGTATGGAGCAGGCATTGGATTAACATCATTCTGTGCTCATTAGAATGATTCCTGTATATACTGGTGATTAACCATAATACCTTTCTAAAACATCAATATAATTTTAAATGGAAAAACATGGAAACAAATTAGGATAGTCAGTTGTATTTGCTTACAGTCGTAACCATTAAACACAAAATATATTAAGGTTAATTGTATTTATGGTACTTTTCATATGTAAATAAGTGTTCTAAAAAATAAGACAACTCAGTATGATGGAGAAACTAAATTTCTTTGTTGATCATACCGGCTTTCATCAATCCCAGAGTTATCTCCATATTAAATTAAAGCTCAGTGAAGTAGAAAAGTAGATTTCATTTCCATTGTTTTTATTTTGGCCTAGGAAATGGAGAGATGTACCATCACAGATAAGCAAAGCAGCTGGTAGAAATAAATCACTGGTTTCAAATATGCTTTACTTCAAAATTTTTACTTGTGAGTAGAGATTTTTTTTTGTTTTTTGTTTTTTCAAATAGTTGCAAAACCCTTCCACAGAACTGAAATAAATTGAAATTTATTTTATGGTTACTTCAGAAAGCCTTTAATTTCCATAAGAATCCAATTTCGGTCATTAATTTCTTCAAAATATAAAGAACAAGGCCCCTAAGCACAGAGTTAGGAGGATGTTTTGTTAATATATAGGCAGATGCTTGCTATGACAACTAACAGTTAGAGATGAGTGCTACAGTATATGGAGTTTCAATATTCTTTTCTCTTTACTACAATAGGTTTCACATGTGTATAGTTTTCTTCCGTATTGTTTGAAGTGGAGTTATTTGTCGATATCATGTTTTCATTCTGTTTTTAAACTGTTGGGTAAAGGATGTGCGTATGTCATTTCTGATCTGTAATGTACTTGTCAAAACCAGGATTTTTTTAATAAAATGAGTCTGTTCACATTCATAAAACGTATTATTTGAGCTTGTCATTTCCTTTATGAAAAGACCAGATTGGTATTTTACTAGTATTCAGTTTATTGACTAAATTGATGTTTCTGACTCTCTCTATTTGTGAATCTATAATCCTTTCCTTTCTATTTTTATAATTGTGTAGAGAAGCAGATGCAAGGAGAAATACTTTATTGGTGTCTCTTTAGCGCAGAAGTTGACACCTACACAAAGGACATCTTTGCCAAATTTGATAAGAATGGTTGGTTACCATTATATTATTATTATAACTAGTTTTTAAGCTCTCATGTTTTGATTTTGATTTTCAATTCCTTTTGATTCTTAACTTGTATTATTGCCTCATATTATAGTGTTCATCGGCCCACAAAACACACTGCATAAAAGATGTAATCCTCAAAATGTTAAGGGAGACAAGAATGATAATAAATTTACCAAAGACCACAAATCCACTCCAACATGGGGTTTATTTTAGATATATCTTCATATATGCTTTCTCAGTGTGGTATTGCGCCTCATTGTCTGAGAATAAAAACTTTCGTAGGTGAATTCTTGTTAATGTATGTCTATTGCCAAGATGCAATGCAGTAGAAGAGTGTATTCCCAACAGCCTGATGACAGTGTTAGTCAGTTACTCAAAGCTGATTTTAAGAAGTGCACTGGTACCCCTGGATGTTATAATGGCTAAAATTAGAAATAGGACTACAAGTTTTCAATATGCAAATAGCTGATTATTCTTTCAATTAGGAAATGGAATAGTATGCTAGAATCTTTTTACTTAATGTTTTAAAAGTAAGGTTAAAATGGCTTTTATATTGTAAAATTGACTGTGCAAACTGAGTGACTTGCAGTCCAAGAACGGTCCAAGTTCCATGAAATGCAACAGGTTAGGAATGTGTTTTAATTATCTTAACTTCTAGTTAGAAATAAATGTAATTACATATCTTTATAATAAAGTCTTAATCTGTTCACAGTTATTTTTATTCTTTCTTTCCTAGTACTGACAATAAACTTGTACCTCTAATTATTTGGATCGACAGGATCTACTTTCTTCAAGAATAGTAGAACTACTGCCTTTAGCCAGTCATCTGGTACCCTCTTGCTCTCATGCCTGCTTTTACAATTTTTTATAGCACTTGTCATGCCAGCTTTTAGCAGCTTTGCTGTTATATTGTCAATACCTGCAGCTTTCCATTTTTAAACTAGTTCACTGCTCTTTCTGTTTCTTCTTTTGATGGTGGTTCATTGCTGATATCCATTCTGCATTGCAAGCTGCCCCATTCATCTAGCAGGCAAGTAGTAGTAGGCAAAGAACGGGGAAGCCTTAGACCAGGCCAAAGTTGCATTGATCACATATTCACGCGCCAACTGTTGATAGAGAATGGGGATTGAAGATGACTGCTGTTTTCATTGACTTTACAAAGGCATTTGATTCTGTTTGGAGGGAAGCATTATGGAAAGTAGCAGTTATATGGAGTTCCAGATAAGATTATTACAATTATAATAGCTATGTAGGAAGACTCTTGCCGTGCTGTAAGAATTAGTGGAAAATTAAGCAACTGGTTCAAGTCAAAGTTTGATGTAAGACAGGGGGGCATGGAATCACCATAACTTTTCATCCTGTTCTTAAAATGGATGTTAAGAATATTAGACAAATTGGAGGGTGTGACATCGGATGATCTAGAGTTAAGCTCCTTAGTTTGTGCATCATACAACTGGCAGACACGTTGGAATTAGTTATGATAATATTATTACCTTGGAAAACTGGTGTAGTTGACTTGGACTAACAGGCAATGCCAAGAAGTCAAGTGGTGGTTTCTTGGAAAAGGGAAACTAGATAAAGCATTGAAAGGCAGCAGCAATGAACTTTTAGAACAAATAGAATCTTGTGTGTACCTAAGAAGCTTGAGCATAGAATCATAGAATATCAGGGTTGAAAGAGACTGCAGGAGGTCATTTAGTCCAACCCCCTGCTCAAAGCAGGACCAACACCAACTAAATCATCCTAGCCAGGGCTTTGTCAAGCCAGGCCTTAAAAACCTCTAAGGATGGCGATTCCACCACTTCCTTAGGAAACCCATTCCAGTGCTTCACCACCCTCCCAGTGAAATAGTGTTTCCTAATGTCCAACCAAGACCTCCCCCACTACAACTTGAGACCATTGCTCCTTTGTTCTGTCATCTGCCACCACTGAGAACAGCTGAGCTCCATCCCCTTTGAAACCCCCCTTCAGGTAGTTGAAGGCTGCTATCAGATCCCCCCCTCACTCTTCTCTTCTGCAGACTAAACAAGCCAAGTTCTTCTTCGAGTGATTGTTCATGTCCATTCCAAGCAGATGTGTGCACGCCGCGTGCACGCCAGCCGGAAGATTTTCCCCTAGCAACGCCATAGTGTTGGCCTGTGCATCCCCTGGAGTGGCACCTCCATGATGCCCTATGTAGGGGCCCGCCGACCCTCCACCCCCTCAGTTCCTTCTTACCACCGGTGATGGCTAGCTAGAACTTTGCTTGCTCTCACAGCAAGCCTAGCAGTGTCTCTATTAAGGGTATATAGTTTGTTTTTTCTTATAGTTCAGAGTTAGTGTTAGTTGTAAGATAGTTAATAGCTGTTCGGGGGCTTCCCCCCTACTTAATCATCACCCCGTCCTGGGGCATGCCCGGGTCCCCAGGGTTTAAACTCTGGCGGACTGCGGGAAGTTTATGCCAAAGAGTGACCCGTACTCTTCCTGCTTGAGATGCCTCGGGGAGAGCCACCAGAGCGACAAGTGCACTGTCTGCAAGGAGTTCCGTCCCAGGACTCTGAAGGACAGAGAGCAGAGACTTAGAGTACTCCTGATGGAGGGGGCCTTATGGCCACACTCGGACTCCGAGCCTGCCGACCTGGCGCTCACCACCTCATTCTCGGTGCGCAGCGCTCCGGCACCATTAGCAAGTGAGGAGGCCTGGTCTAAGAACTCTAAGTCCCGGCACCGGAGAGAATCAGGGCATAGAAAATCGGCCTCTATGCGGCACCGATCACCATCTCCGGTGCCCGTGAAAAAGAAGAGGCCAGTGAGGGGCCGATCACCCCACCAGGACCTTAAAAGGCTGGCGGAGTCCACAAGTGTGGTGGGACAAGCCGTGTCACAGCCACATCCTCCCACGGTCCTGTTGACTCCTGCCCCCATGGGGGAGCAGTCAAGTCCGGACCAGTCTAGGACCCCGGATCTCAGCAAGGATGTGCGCCTCCCATCAACGCCAGAAGCGTTTGAGGCGGCCTCAGACTTAGTAAGCCTCCCGGTGCCAGCCTCCCCGCGCCGGAGAGAAGAGCCGCCAGGGATGACCCGACCCCCGATTCAATCGAGGCAAGCTGGCCATGATGACGCCACAGTCCCCACCCCGTGCCGCTCTGGCGGTACCGGTGCAAAGAGAGAGCGTTCCCCGGCCTCACAGCACCGCTCGCCGGCGACAGTGGGTACTGCCCCTCCTCGGTCTTCATATTCAGAAACATCGGAGTCGGAATCCTTCTGCTCCTGTAGATCAAGGAGCAGGAGGTCGGCTTCACAGGCAAGCCAATGACCTAACCCATCGCTGTGGCAGCAGCAGTGGCAACCGCCCTCCCAGTGGCCGTTCTGGACTCCTTGGGCTTACCATCAAACCCTGGGACAGGTGCACAGTCCACACTCCAGGTCTTCTTGGAGTCGGTGGCTCCAGTGCAAATGCTTCCACCACCAGCACCGCCATCCGACGGGAGTGTACCACAACAGAATCCGGCACGGCCTAGTCAGACACCGGCACCGATAGGGGCCATGTTTTCGACGTCGCAGGCACCGCCCAGCACGCCTCGTCGTTCGGCGTCGACCCCAGTACCGGTCGTGGTGCCGCATCCTATATCCACACCGGCCACGCAACCAGAGTAGCTTGTGCCGCAGCGGCTGAGGGTAGTGAGGAAGGTCCCCTGCAAGTGATCTCCTCCTCTTCCTCGACGGATGAGGCGGACAATACCTCGGCGATGTTCTATATCAACAAACGGGCGGGGGGGTGCATGCTTCTCTCCCTTTTGCCGGGAAGCCCTCTTATTATGGGACTTTTGCGTACAGAATGCAATTCACCTAATGGCATCCTACCTCCCGGGGGGTGCAGAACGGCCTAGTGGACGCCCTCAGCCACTCTTTCCATGGTCATGAGTGGTCCCTCCGCCAGGACGTGGCACGTTCAAACTTCTGTCTCTGGGGCTATCCCCAGATAGACCTGTTTGCCTCGAGGGACAACAGGAAGTGTCAACGGTTCTGCTTCCTCATGGGGCACAGTCCAGGGTCTCTCACGGATGCCTTCCTCCTCTCGTGGGAAGGTGGCCTGTTTTACGCCTTCCCTCCTATTCCGATGGTCCACAGGATACTCCTTAAGATTCGCAGGGATCATGCTCAAGTCATACTGATAGCGCCGGCATGGCCACGCCAGCATTGGTTCACGTCGCTACTGCAGATGTCCAAACAGGCATCCCTCATGTTGTCCCTACTCCCGGACCCGATCACACAGGATTGAGGCCACCTCCGGCACCCGAACCTGGAGTCGCTCCACCTCACAGCCTGGGTGCTCCATGGCTAAACCTGGTAGAAAGGTAATGCTCACAGCAGGTTAGATAAGTCCTGCTTGGTAGCAGGAAACCCTCCACCAGAGCTACATACACAGCCAAGTGGAAACGTTTTTCCATTTGGGCAGAACAGCAGGGACAGGCTCCATTGCTCGCCCTGATCCCACTCATCCTTGACTACCTACTTCATCTGAAACAGCAGGGGCTTTCCCTCTCTTTGGTTCGGGTCCACTTGGCGGCCATCTCCGCGTTCCACCCAGGAGCTGACGGTGGTTCAGTCTTTGCAAACCCACTGGTCAGTCGCTTCCTCAAGGGCCTGATTAGGCTTTTCCCATATACTCGACAACCTGTCCCGGCATGGGACCTTAATTTGGTCCTTTCTGCCCTCACGGGGCCGCCCTTCGAGCCCCTGGCTACATGCTCATTACTGTATCTCTCCTATAAGGTCGCATTCCTCGTGGCTATCACCTCGGCCAGGAGGGTATCGGAACTCAGAGCCCTGACGTCCGAGCCTCCATACACTGTTGTTCACAAAGACAAAGTCCAGCTCAGGCCACACCCAGCATTCCTTCCTAAAGTGGTTTCCCAATTCCACATGGGTCAGGACATTTTTCTCCGTGTTCTATCATAAGCCCACACTCCTCCAGCACGGAGCGTAGGCTGCATTCCCTA